ATACAATACTTAAAATATAAAGCTCTTGTGGGTCGGGCTTAGAGGGGCGCCAATAGATCCTATGGCATCCCTCAGTGCCAGGGATTGTGGAGTGTTTGGAGTCCATCAGTGGAGTGCTGGTGAGGCATACCGTATAATATCGTGAGCTCTATATGAGTGGAGAATATGCTGTAATAGTGAGCAGTAAAGCAAAGGCGGTTCAGTTGTGATGAAACTCTACTACAAAGAGATGCCAAAAACGCGTGCGTTCTCTACACTACACCACTAAACCCATACAACCCATACATAAAAAGACTGTTCAAGACTTTATCCATTCATTTAATATGTGCTGCAATTCAGATGTTAACTTCATATGAAAACTATTATATCTATTATATAATAACTGTATTTTGTGTAACTTCTCTAACTATGTCTCTATAATAAGTAATACTTTTATAACTATATGTTTGCCATTATTTTTTATGCTTGAAACTAATATTATATTAAAACAAAAAATTATTCAAAGTGTTCAACAGCTGCGTCCAAACACTGGGTTCCTATCAGTGCTCACAATATATTTCATATATTTCTAAAATGTTAAAACTTATTTTCCATAACTCTGTACTCACTTTGAAATGTGTTAATAGTTGCGAATAAGTGAATCAAAGTTACCGTCCATTTAGAGTTGATAAATATATTGAAAGTAATCTAGTCTTAAGTGAAACAAGTGGTCCAATGCCTAAGAACTTTCTAGTCAAGCGTCGAAAGACCGATAACTCCTCCAACCCTCACATCTCAGACCATTCCAGTTGTCTGGCATTGCCTTTGACTACTCGGCCCCTAATATACCGCTATTCAGATGAGGATCGGTCCGACTCGAGCTCATCAGAACCAGAGGTCGGTTCTGTGACCAGCATTCCATCCCCTCTTGCAATCAGCCATTCATCGCATCCATTGGCCTCATTAGTCTCACCATCACTATTGTCTTATAGTAAACAATACTCCAACACAGAGGTAAGCCATGAATTGTTGCGTTTGGGAAGTGCTCTGCGATCTATTCATTTGCAATGATAGCCCGATATAGCGCAGCATTAACTCTCACCTCTCACGCCATTCCCATATTAATCTTATTGTCTGAGAATTTCGTGAGACTTAAGCATTATATCTAATTTCCTATTATTTTACTTTCAAATTATATATTATATTATATACTATTAACTCATTTGATAGATATTTTATTTTCATTTCATTTATGCCATTCTCTTAAAGTTATTGTATTTCTCAATCACTCTATCAAAATGCATAAAATTCACCAATTCTTGCAATCATTTGAATTGTATCATTAGTTACCACAAGAAGTACCGCTCGCTTTAACCAAACACTCGTCGTATTCATCTGAGCGCAAGAGCCCCACCACTCCTAATGATGGCGAGAGTCCGTCAGCACTGGACCTCCGGTGTCCCAGTTTTATATTTCACTTCCCGGACAGACTGCCCGCTTCCGCCCCCTCTGTATTCCAACGAAACATCACTGCATTAGTGAACCGATCGGACCATAAGCCCAATAAATCGTTGTCTACCTCTAAGAAACGGCACTCAACTGACAGTCAAAAGTCACTAAAAAGACATAAAGTCATCAGAAAATTGAATTTCGATGAACACAAGTCGTCTCCAGTGTCGGGCACTTTCATCCGCGACTCTGACAGTGAGGACGACTTCTCCGCCCATTCTTCGTGTGTCCGACGATCGGGTGATATCGACCCGAGTCTTAATGTGGTGGTCATTACAGACGAGGCGCGCGCGGAGATCGAGAAAATCGAGAATAAGATCGGAGACTATATCTGCGCGCTCTGTAAGGATAAGTTTGACGACGCCTTTGGATTAGCCCAACACCGGTGCACACGTATCGTACACGTGGAGTACAGGTGCCCCGAATGTGATAAGGTGTTCAACTGTCCGGCCAATCTGGCGTCACACCGGCGATGGCATAAACCCAGAAACGGTGGTATAAACGGCACCGACACCAACAACAAGAAGAGCAAAGTGTCAGTCGTGGCTAC